ATGAGGGTGGGGAGAAGTGGGTATATGCTGCTTTGGAGTGTGTCTGTGCGCCTCAGTACAGGCATTAGGCTCCTAACAGCCTTGGAGGCCAGCACCATTTTGTTAGATCAACAGAGGGATCAGTGGCTAGGGGGCAGTATTTGTTTCCACAGGTGATTGAGCTATTTCACAAGTGTGTGTGTGTGTGTGTGTGTGTGTGTGGAAGGGGCGGGGGGTGGGGGGTGCCTTCCTGACCACAGGCCCCTGGGCGGTCACTCACATCATCAGCTCCAGCTCTGTGCCCAATTTAAGGTGCCAAGAAATGGCAAACTAGCTATAACATTGTTCCACATATAATATAGAACAGTTTTGTGGCTGGTTTATATGGCTTCCTAAACTGAATATACGGCTGAGTTGACGATTGCTTTGGGCCAGTAACCACACCAGGGTCTTCAACCAGCCCCAGTGCAGTCCCTGCCTGCCTGACAGCTTATTGTTGGCCCCGGTCCCAGACCTGTGGGCATGCGGCTTTCAGTTTGCCAGTGAAGGGGGAGTCCAGGATCATAATCTCAGACTCCCCCTGTACTACCAACTAGGGTGTGTTTGGGATCTGATCCTCAATCCCAAATTGCACCTCCTGCCGTGCACCTGTGGCATGGCTGGAGGCTCAGTTGCTGGGATCAGATCCCAAGGTGCATTTAAATGAATGTCTGACAGGGGCCTCACAAACCTCAGCAGACATTGACCCTCTATGAACTTTAAATCCACATAATCAGGGCAATCAACCACACTGGTTTTGGGACCTGTGATGTATTTGCTGCTGATAACCTCTGCTTTTTTGGTTGTAAGCATCCTTTCTTTACCCTCTGTTGTTAGTTTACAGTAACAGCCCCAAACACTATACAGTTACAACCCTGTCAATGTATCCAGTTCCCACAAATTGCACCTGGTCTGATTTGAGAGACCGCTGCACCTGCTTTGCACTTGGGCAGTTTGTTCCACAAGGGGCCTGATTGCCATTCAGGCTGGAGCCACTTTACACTTCCAGCATGGTATATAGGGTAACTGAGAACTGAACCCAAGGTAGAGAGCGAGAGTGGCTTCCTGTGTTTTGAGTTTTTTTCCTGTAAGGCCTGGTCTACCCTAGAGCTGAGTAAAAACGTTTTGACCAGTAGTAAATTGGCTGAAAATTGTCATTTTGGAGTACCTGTATAATTGGATTAAATTTAGCAAAGGATTTCAGCTGAAAAAATAGGATGAACCATTTTGAACATGTCAAAACATTTTAACGTTTTCAAAACATTATAATAATTCATATTGGAAATTGCTGAACACCTTATTTTAAGATTTTCAGAGCAAAGCTTCTTGACTGGATGGGTTGTGCAACAGCTTTTTTCATGTAAAGATTGGCTTGAATTTTTTAAAAAGAAAAAGTTTTTAAAAGGGGTGAAAGGAGTTGAAAATGGAATAACATATTACTTTTCAGGTAGAATGAAATGTATGGGGTTGACCTGAAACATCTTTCTGTTTGGTTTTATCTTTTTTTGGTACCATCAAAGCATTATTAAACATTCTGTATTGCTTCATCTCAACTTTAATTTAATTTAATTTTATTTTATTTTATTGTCCAGCCATTAGAATAAACCATTCATTATTTGCCCAGCTCTTGTCTACACCTCCTTTTTGTACTGATTTAGCTATTTTGATTACATGTATAATTTTTAATGTGTCCAGTTCAAGCAATACAATTTCAACTGTGGGTGCACTTATACCAGACAAACCTCATAAAAACCAGGCAGCATGACTCAGACACCACTCCACAAACTTAAGCCATGTAGTTTATTCTGGTAAGGGAAGTGGGGAATAAGCTAGAGTAGCCTTATGAGGTTTTTTTCCCTCTACATGACACTAATAGCACCACTAAAGATTCACTGACTAGAATAACAGACCTCATAAATCCATATGTTTTTATTTCAGGTGTTTAAACTGTGAAAGGAGCCAGGGTTACAGTCCAGCGAGCCAAACTCTCCTGTGCTATGACAAAAGAAGAGCTAAGCAAAGGAACTGTAATGAATGTCATCTGTCCTGGAAGGCTCTGCTATGTGGTGGTGTAGTAAAAGATGTATTGTGAAAATGTGTTTAAATTCTTATAAGAAGACCACTTTTTTTTATCTTCCTGAGACATATTTTCTTTCCAATACGGAGATTGTTTTGAAGATGGACGTACTGGGATTGTTTGAAGATGGACATCTACTGAGTCATATGCCAAATGCCTTCCCATTCATCCCTTCAGTCCTTAATTTTTACAACCAGTCACAGTGCTTCATTTATTCATGCCAATTCTTAGCGATTAACATCACCCTATCCCTGATGTGTATGAAAAACTAATCCATGCGATATACAGCTGATTTTTGTACAGTTTAGATGCAAAAGAGAAACAGATTCAGAGAAAAGACTGGTTCAGCCTGCAGCAGTAAATCAGTCTCTTCTAAATTCTTTCCCTTGGTGGAACTCAGCGGAAGATGGGAAAGAATGATCTTCAGTTCTTTAGAAGTGACTTTCTGAGCTAAGGACCCAACCTGCTCTTGAACTGGAATGGAACCTGGACTTATGCAAGTGCTGTGAAAACTCCATTTTTTTGGAGTTGCAAGTCTTGTAGTATTTGAGTATGCTTAAAGCCCAAGGTTCTGTATTTGTATCTTGAACATGCAGAGAGGCTTGGATGTAGACGATTCATAGGGTCCATTCCAACACTGCGAGTCTGTAAGAGAATGAAAATACAAATCAGAAAGAAAGTTAATGAATTTTTGGCCCTCCTGGTTGTCGAGAGAGGCTTGAATGTCATCACCTGCTCTGAAGCTAGAAGGCAAAGGGGAAAGATTACCACTTTCACATGTAAAAGGTGTACGTGATTTTAGGGACTTGCTCATCATTTTTGAAAGTGGGCTGATGGTTCTAGCCGCTCAAGCCAGTGTGAATTTTATGAAGAACCATGATGAATGTGAAAGATAACTAGTGGACATGAGAAGCCACGAGACTCTTACTTTGCTGTGGGGCCGTGAACTTCTTATCAAGGAACACTCTACAATTGTGTATTGTACACAGTCTTCCAAGCTTTTGCTACAAAAAAAGTAGAGATCAGGGAATCTCTTGGTGATCAGCCCTGTAGTTAAAAAAAACAGAAGGAACCTGTTATGGGCAAATTGACCTTCCAAACAAGTTCAGTGGATCCTATATGACCTAAGGCTGAATGATAACCTGGGCTGGATACAGGCATGGGTGTACTGGGTGGCTGCCTGGGGCCTAGACGGACAGGGGCCCCGAACATAGTAATTTAAAAATTATTATTATCATTATCTCTAGCGAAGGGGGACCCGATACTAAAAGCTTGCCCGGGGCCACCAGGGGTCTAGGTACAATTCTGATGAGGAGGTGCCAAAGTGTAAAGCGGGCCCAGAAGCACAGGAAAATTATGTAAACCAACATTGAGGGAGGGCTGCACTCTGTGTATGTAAAGCCACTGATATCTGATAGCAAGAGTAAAATCCAACCAGCGTCTGCAGCTAGAAGACAGAAAATGGTTAAGACCTTCTCTATGGATACACTTATTCTGTTTCCTTGCTGTGCCCTGTCTCCAAGGAGAGGGAGGAGGTAGCAATATTGAGTACAAAAGGGCTACACCCATCACTTAGACTTACTTACGGCATCCACTTGTAACTTCCTCTAATCACAGACCAGCCCCTTTCACAGAATCTGTTAACGTCTTTTATTTTCTGTACCGGTGTATTTGTTTGTAAATTATATAAAAAAAATGTTTAAAATATGTGTGTGTGTGTGTGTGTGTGTGTGTGTGTGTGTGTGTGCGCGTGCGCGCGCACACACACACACACACACACACACACATATGTATAAAATTGTTCTTAAATACTTTCTTACTTACTCAGTTAACCCAAACTTGTACCTGGCTGCAGTCAGGCTCCATACAAAATGCAAGTTGAGGAAGAGGTGCCTTCCCCTTGTATCAGAGAGCTTAGTGTGCTGAGGTGGAGGTGTAGGGTTCAAACCCCCATCCCAGGAGGGGGCCCCAACCCCCATGATATAGGGTATCACAAGACGGCACACTCTTTGCCCTTCCTATTGAAGCAGTTCTGCTTTTTTTAGAGTCAGCTATGGTACTCTGAGAGATGAAAAATATGCAAGGATGTGCACAAGCAACAGTGTGGTTCCCTAGCTTGGTGGTTAGGGCAGTCAACTCGGAGGCGGTAGTGCTAGCTTCCGGTCCCTGCTGATGCATTGTATTCAGTGGTGGTTAAATGTGAAATACAGAAATGGTCCTAGGTTGCAGTCCCTTCTCCAAAAGCTGCCCTCTCCCTGTTGAGTATCCCAACAGTGTTATGCTTTTGTTCATCATTTTTGGTTCTGTGAATCTTTGATGAATTTAAGCAAGGTGGAGCTCTTGCTGTAGCCGTAGGCCATGACTGTGTCACTCCTCCAGCACACCTCTGCCTCATTCTACAGGCTAAGTTAGGGGTGGCAACCTTTTCTGGCTGCAGCTTGGAATGACCCATCCTAGGTCAGAAGTAGGAAGGTGGGGACTAGGAGCTGGCTTCTGCTGCTTGTCCCTGCAGGAGAATGGGAAAGTGCCTGCTGCTGACGCCCCTTTCCCATGGGTCAGATCCATTGGTTCTTCAGGTCATAGGTTGTGCCCCCCCAACTAGGTGGGTAGTGCCCAGGGAAAAGTAAGGAGGAGATATGTAGGCTTCAATCTCCTTGGGTCAGGATGAGCCTAAAACCCCAGGTTTCCCACTTCTTGGGCAAGTGTGCTAACCACTGAGCAAGTGGGGGTGGCAGTACTGTAAGCTGCGCTTTGAAAGAAAAAAACTGACTCCTGCTTGGGTATTTTTGGAAAGAGGCAGCTTGGGTGCCTGCTTCCAGAGAAGGGCTGAGGGTTGTGAAACCTAAGTGGAGAGGGGCACCTTCCTGCAGTCCTGAGTTTTACCTACACTCAGGAAAGAGGTGGGGTGAGGTGCACAGTGTAGGGAGCCTGGGCTATGGTTTCTGCTTTGAGCGTCAGGCATCTTAGTGTTCAGCTTTGTAGACTGAGTCCTTACAGACTGGTCACCCATTGCTGAACACACCGATGGCAGAGCTGGGAACAGGTCCCAATGCTTTCTGCCCCCAGCTAGCTCCTCATTCAGTGGACTCTTACCCTTTCCTTGGCCATTGTAGCCTGGTTGAGTGGTGCACTATCTGGATTTTAACAAGGAGCACTGTCGACACCTAACTCTGTGCTGAAGAGACAAGTTTTCCAGGTAAGGGTTAAATGCATCTAAATGTTTTGCATTTCTGTTTGGACAAAGATAGTCTTTTGTGTAAATGACCAGCCTTGGAGGAGTTTGGCAACACGGCTATTATTGAACAAACTGGCTGCAAATTTGCTCCTGGAAGACTAAACAGGGAGGTGCTAATCCACACACATTGCTTGCATTGGTCATCTTGTGGCATTTCAAGTTTGGAGGGGCTGAGAAGACCTGGTCAGGGGAGAGCAGAGTCTTTGCCTTCCAGCAGTGTCTTCTCAGCTACCTGATCCGTAGTGCAAATCTACACTAGTCTGAAGACAAAGACCAAGCTCCTCACAAATATTTTGTGAGCACCTGAGACGAAACTGTTTCTGATGGAGCAGAACTTGACAGTGTCCCCAGAGAGACTCTTGAAAAAGCAGGCAAACCACCTCCAGCCCTTCCCACCCCTTCACTTTTGCATTCCCACAGGTCCTCCAGTAGTCTCTTCCCTGCCTCTTCTTTTCCCTACGCTGTGCCTGTCTTCTGCAGTGCCCAGTTTCAAGCGTGTCAGCTGCTTCATTGAGAATGAGCCGAAGAAGCAAACTCCAAGCGCGCCAGCCTTTTGAAACAAAACCATGAATAAAGCCATGCATAAAGCAAATAAATCTCTGTAAAAGAATGCAGAGCCCACAACTTGCATCCTAAGAGAGCTACCAGGGTGACTCTGATACTCCCGCCACTCTCCCCTCATCCCCCTCAGCTCTGGCCCTTCACACAAACTACTTTCCCTTGCGTGGCTGCCAACAGACATAAAAATGCTCGTGTAAGATGTGTGTGCTGGGATTATGCCTACAACGCATGCAAAAATAAGCAGCCTCTCTAGGCAAGCATGCAGGCACTTCTAATAGAAACAAGTGACTCATTGCCCGGAAAGCTGTGCTGCCAGAAATGAGTGGTCCGCCCTCTTTGGATTCCTTTCTAACTGCAGCTGATGCCATAGGGGGGGTGGGAGGGGGGCAGTGGTTTAACGGTTCTTCAGCCTTCCGTAATCACCAGAAAGTCTTGGGTTGAACGACTCCTAAGGGCCCCCACAGCTGTAAAACAGCATAACTACCATCCTCAGGAGAGCTACTCCATCCAGTTCCTCCTAGTATAAAGAAGTCTGGCCTCCGTATCCCAATGGGGAGGTGGAGGAGGAGGGGGAGGGTGTGTCTCAATGTGGTTTGGCTGACAGGGTATGTTTCTATTGCAGTATGCAATGTGATTGCAGCTTGGATACAAAGTCTCACATGAGTGTTAAATTAGCCAGCTCAGATCCCCAAAACAGCATAGCTAGCACAGCCTGGAGCTCACCACAGCAAAACCTCTCATGGACCCAGTATAAGTACTTGGATAGTTCGGCTACGCTGGTCTGCCTACTGCAGCAGCCAGGTGGTTATTCTGAGTACCCACGCTAGCCAGTTTCAGATTCACTCAGTTATGTCTACATAAGGTGCAGGTTCCCCTTGGACTACAGTGTTGGCATGCTCCAAATTAAGCTCCAATTAAGCTACCCTGGTGAATGAATGGCAAGTGCTGCTTTGACTGCTTTTGTCCACTGTTGATGTAGGGCCACAGGAGCTGGAGCAAGAAGCATGCCCTTTTGACCAACCTCCTGTGTTGTAGCGTGAGGTGCTGGCTTGGTATGTGTTTGGGTGTTTGGAAAGGCAAGAGCCCATGACTATTCTTCAAAACAAACACAACTCATACCTGCAAGTGTATCTGAAATGGCTGGAAAAAAATCATGTCCAATCCTTCTTGTTCTTGGCACCAGGGAAATAGGGTCCTAGCACCCCTTCACACGAGACAAAACCCTTTTCCCTGGGAGTGCAGTCTGTCCTGCCCTAGTACAGCTCTGAGCAGCACCTCCCCGAGGCAGACTACAGAGATGCTGACCCACTTGTTGTCTCCAAAGGACAGTGTGAGTTCGTGCCCGGTGCGCTTTTGCCAATAAACACACAGGGGTGGAGGATCCAACTTAATCTTTATTGTTTCAAGTCTGCGCAGAGAGGGGTGCTTGGCGATCGTTCGCAAAACAAGCACACCGGTTTCTACCTTTGGGTACCTTTTATACGTATGTTTGCAAGTGTATCGCTCAGTGATTGGTTACAAGCCACTGACATAAGACGTTCTCTACTGAGCATGTCTCTGTACCTATGATTTAGCCATGTATTTCATTTACATACATATATGTTTCATTAACATACTTTTGCTCTGCCCAGGGGTGTGATTTTTAGCATTATAATGAGACCTTTTTCTGAACTTCTTGCTATCTTACAGGTGTCAGGGAGACATTATTCTGCTGGTGTTAGGGAGGCATTCCAGGAATCCTCCGCATCCCACACGCTGTGCTCTGCAAGCATCTCTTAACACACACATGCCACACCCCTCCCAGCATCAGTAAGTTGCCTTAAGTATTCAGTTAGATATAGTTTGCAAAAGCTAAATATACCATAAAAAAGATTACATAAAAAGATTACATCACACTCAGTGCAGTGCTGGACACAGGCCAATAAACTTTCCTGAGAGGCAGAGCCTTCTTGGCACCTAGCATCATGCTAAAGCAGATGGGTATGCTACTGTGGGTTTGGGTAGTCATGCACACAGAGCAAGTGTGGTGAATGTCAGCGTGGTACCCTGGCACCACATGGAAGTGGTATAGATATACCTTGAGTCTTGCTCTAGGCCCTGAGTCAGGGCTTCAAATACAGACTTAAATTCAGTAGGATTTGATTTCTGGGACTGTGCATTACTTGGTTAAATTAAGCATGTTTAAGCACCTTAAGCCTAACTGGTGCATCATGCAAGACAGCACTAGTTCAGCTACATTTGGAATGGAAGAAGCTAACAGGACATGCTGGGCTGAGAGCAGTGAAGCTTGTGGGAACATGTTTCCTGTGGCTGGACATGTTAGAGGTCTCAGCTAGTGATCTGCTTGCTGCCTCTCCCCCTGTCATCTCCCATGTGGCATTTCCAAAGCTTGAGCTAGCAAATGGTAATGTGCTTAGTGGCAATTTTCCAGCTGCCTAAGTGAGGTTAGGGTTAGGGTTATGCATAGGTAGTGTTTCTTTTCCCCCTGCAATGTGGGCATGTAAGTAGGGACATGTGAATTGAGCATGTCAGTAGGTTATGTGCTGGCCAGGCAGGTTATGAGGCTGCGTGCACACCTATGCTGGGTGTGTGTAAGTCACAAAATGCTGCCCAGCAAAAAAACTGACTAATTTGGAGGGGTGAAGAGAGAGATTTCCCTCCCATTTTCTATTTGCAGAAGCTGATCGGTGAGGGCACTTGTCCAGGAAGTTGGAGACCCAGGTTCTTATAGGTCTTTGACTTCCTAGTACAGCACTCTAACCACCAAGCCATAGGTCTGACATTATCCAACCCTTACTCCAGCTCGCCATTTGAAACTGGCTTCCTGGATAGCCACAAGGGGGTTCAGGAGGATGAGGGCCAGCTCTATGGTATGTGGCTTGGTGAGATAGAAGCTCCTTTGGAAGGGA